TTTAGTGCAAGTAATAACTGCACAGGAGAAAATTTAGTAAAACCTATAATGCCGCTTAATTATACAAATTTACTATGATATTCCATAGTCGGTTACAATGTTTGAATTTTCTTGTTCAAACTTTAATGTTCTTGTTGCCACATCAGAAAAACTAGTAAAAACTTGTTAAAAACATTCTAAAAGAGATTAGGTTGTTTTATTTATTTCAAAATCCTAAATTATTTCCAGAAATCATCAAAACAATCTTATGTAACTAACGCCATCGAATCGGGCGCAATGTAAACATAAATTAGCAAGTTGACGGCAAGCTAAAACACGCTTCAGCTGGGAATATAAACGCATTTGAAGTCCGTAAGTGAATTTACAATAGTGTATTGGAAGCCTTTATTACTTAGTTTTTACAAGCTATTGCCAAAATGCCTCAATTTGCTCGTTTTTTTGACAAAATAAGTTATTTTCATCAAGTACCGATTTGTTATTGCATCTCAAATTTTTGACTCTCCAATCGCAATCACTTAAAATACTATTATTCACGAACTACTGGATTAAATTTACGAAACAACCCATCGTTGGAAAGCTGAATGTCTATGCTTTAAAACAAATGTAAACTTGAACGTTTTACTCTAATATTCGTTTCGAAATTTATATTTGAAGCGAGGACTCCGTTTTTTATGATACACCCTGTATAATACACACTCGAGAACATTTTCATCTTAATATATATATATATATATATATATATATATATATATATATATATATATATATATATATATATATATATATATATATATATATATATATATATATAAATAAATTTTAAAATCAGAGACTATGCAATTCGACCATCAATTTATTAAAAAAACTAAAACATACTAAAATAAAAGCTTAAAAGTTAAAAACATTTCGGCCTTCATCAGAACTGCCGAAATGTTTTTAACTTTTAAGCTTTTATTTTAGTATGTTTTAGTTTTTTTAATAAATTGATGGTCGAAGTTGCATAGTCTCTGATTTTTAAATTGATTTATATATATATATATATATATATATATACGACAGTACTTGCTGTGAATCCTATTTGGATCCTTCGCCCTTGAGTAGACTTCGTTTGGCATTGCCATACCAAATATCAATGATATATATCAATGATATATATATTATATATATATATATATATATATATATATATATATATATATATATATATATATATATATATATATATATATATATATATATATATATATATATATATATATATATAGGGAATGGTATAATTGTTTTATAATATAGTCTAATAGCCATTAACTGAAGAAATAATTAATTATCCTCTGTTACAATGTCTTGACAATTTGTTCGGCCAAAAACCACTTGGCCTTGAAATTTTGAAATACTTTTGTTTTACAACTCGAAGACGAAGTGAAAGAAATGGTTTTAGAACCGGTATATCCCTTACAAAAATTTCACATAACATTTCATATATGAAAATTTCATATATGAAATCGTTATATGGAATTGAAACAAATTTCATATATGAAATATTTCATATATGAAATATTTCATATATGAAATATTTCATATATGAAATTTTCATATATGAAATTGTTTCAATTCCATATAAAGATTTCATATATGAAATATTTCATATATGAAATTTTCATATATGAAATTGTTTCAATTCCACATAAAGATGTCATATAATTTATGAAATATTTCCTATATGAAATTTTCATATATTTAATTGTTTCAATTCCACATAAAGATTTCATATATGAAATATTTGATATATGAAATTTTCATATATGAAATTGTTTCAATTCCACATATAAAGATTTCATATATGAAATATTTCATATATGAAATTTTCATATATGAAACTGTTTCAATTCCACATAAAGATTTCATATATCAAATATTTCATATATGAAATTCCACATTAACATATGTTCAAATATTAAGTTTTATGCATTGAAATTAAGCGAGTCAGGGGAAGTTTATGCGATCCCATTTACCCGAGATTAAACAAAGCGAGCAATGGCTTTGAGGTATTGAAATAAGTCCTTATGAAACCAGACAAGCACATGCTAACAACAGACTAAATATAGATCAATGCAAAAAAACATATTCGCACGAATTAGTGCTCAACAATTACATTTTGCCCATTTGATATTTCTACAGAACAAAATCAAAAGCCACCTGGATCGTGTTATTTTTCCGAATCATTAACAAATGACTTATTTCAATATCTCAAAATCATTGCACGCTCGTTTAATCTTGTGTAAGCGGGATCATATGAACTGCCCCTTAGAAAAATCTACCTAAATAAGAAAGTTACGTCCTATGCAGGTTTGATATACCACATCAGACACTAGTTTATTCGAAATATACAAATTACAAAATAATAAAAACTTAATTACAATATACATACAGTATATTTACTCTCGGTTACAAAAAATATCCCAAATTTTGTGTGATTTTGAGGAAATTATCCATTTGGGACATTTTTGGATACACCCTGTATATGCATTACTCAACTAAAAGCATGCAGAAATAAAAAATTAGGGGTGGGTTACCAGTAACACCATGAAGGGACAAGACCAAAGATTAAAATTAAGAAATGCATATAATATCATTACTAAAATATTAAAACAAATACTGTATGTTTGTGTTCTCTTAACAGTTCTCCTGCTTCTCCAGTTCACATTGAATCTTTTTCTTGCATTCTTAGTTAATTTCGAAAAATTCTTGGGCCTATCCACCTCAGTTAAGGCATTTGCTGTCAGCATGGACTAATAAAAGAAATTATATGGTTTATATGGTTTATAAATGGTTTAGAAATATATAAATGAAATATATAAATGGTTTAGAAATTATATGGTTTATATTATATGGTTTATACAGTAAAATTAATATACATTGTGAGATCTGAATTTTCTTCTTGTCAGTGACTGCAGTCAAGCCTGTACTGTTTCAGTCAGTCACTGTCCACATGTCATACGACTAAATCGTTAGACAGAGTAAAATAATACTTAAAGCAGGGCGCATTGGCACAATGCAACTGAATGGATTAACTAGATTATTAGACATATGGCCAGATAGGCCAGTTAAGTTACTGTACCTATTAAATGCCAGAGCTCTCCCCTTGATGAGTAAATTGTCTGGCAGTAGACAGAGTAAAATAATAAAGCAAGGCACATCGGTGCAATGCAACTCAATGGATTAACTAGACACATGGGCAGATAGGCCAGTTAATCCATTAAGCACCAGAGCTCTGCCCTTGATGAGTAAATCATCTGGCGTTAGACAGAGTAAAATAATAAAGCAGGGCACATCAGGGCGCAATGTGTTAACTTATATCACAAAGAAAAATATCAGTAAACTTACATGCTTGCCTGTCTTGTTTTGGTGGGTCTGCCGGTCTCCTTGGTTGCCTGTCTTGTTTTGGTAGGTCTGTCGGTCTCCCAGTGCATGTGGAAGGGAAGCCATTACACATCTGAGGGTTAACTATAAAACTGGTACAAATGGTGCATATATTAAATAAGTATGTTGAATACGAATATACTGTACAGTCATACCAACACTCTCCCCTTAACAATAAAGTCGTTCGGCATCGGGTCGTTCCAGAAAAGATCCATACCCCCCCCCCCCCACGGAGGAAATTTTTGCTGTCCGAAGGGGGAGGGAGGAAAAATGTCTTAGGATGTCCGAAGGGGGGGAGAGGGATGCGGATATGTTTGTCTGAAGGTTTGAGACTGTGATAAAGCTATGTGATCGGCGATTATAATGAGCACGCAATTTTTATCAGCTATATGTAGCTCTTGAACACCGGAACGTTTATGTAACAGCAATAATTATACGTCCACGTAACTCGTAAGCAAAATAAGCGGCCCACTTTTGCATGCATGGCCACCAAAAACTAACTCGCTGTAACAGCGTATCCTGCATGTTGATTGAGATTGAGTCGAAAATTGACACGCTTTATTTATATAGTTTGCAGTTTTCGTTCGTATATATAAGTTTGAATTATTCAAGTGTTAAAAATAATAGTTATTAAACTGTTGCTCGAATTAAGAGACTGCTATGTGAATTGAACTCAAAACAATTTGTTTTAGTATATAGTCAATAAAGCTTCCTTGCGAGGTGCGTGTCTAGAAAATAGAAATGGCTTTCATATTAAGGGCGAGGTTAAGGAATGCAGTAATACTAAAAAATGCATTAACATGTAAAGTAAACACAGCAACGCTTGTCAATCAGTCGCAAGTTACATCGAATTTCAGTCCGAATTTTACTTGAACGAATTTCGAAGTGAATTTCTGCAAATTATCCGACAAAACCTGCCACGTGTTTGTGTTCGCAAGTCACAAGAAGCCGCCAAGTGTTCCGCCACGCCGGAGCTATTTGAAAACAGCGTAGAAAAGTCACAAATAAGCAATCGCTAATTCACTCTACGCTGGAGCGAAATCGTTTGAAAACTTCACGTCAATTTTGCCGTAACAATTTGAGCACGGTTTCTAAACGGAGCGAGGTGAAAACGGCGGAGCGCTTGATAGCTTCGTGTGAACACAAACGTGAAACGTGTAAACTCGAATGCTTTTCAGTTAAATTTTTTGGGTCTATTTGAAATATTTTGGATTTACACGAGTGCTAATTCAATTTGTAAACAAACTGTAATGGCTTAGTCTGAACACACGTAAATTCTGCCCGCATTAGTTCGCTTTCGCGTAATGTGAACGTAGTCTAATTTTCGGTGACGTTTTCAAACGGCAAGGTAGCCTTTAGAAAAATTTAGAAATAGTGGATGTCCGAAGGGGAGGGGGGTAATTTTGGGCTTTGATGTCCGGAGAGGGGGGGAGGATAAACCATTCAAGGATGTCCGAAGGGGGGGAGGGGGTTATTTTAGATTTCCTCCGTAGGGGGGGTATGGATCTTTTCTGGAACGACCCATTTCAAGACAATGAAACATAACAAATAACTAGGGATGCAGTGGATATCATATCTGGCCAGATATTGAGATTTTAATTCATTTTCTGTTACATGGCCACCCAATACTGGGTATTATTTACATAAGGTTCAGGCCTTCAAGATTTACAGTTACTGCAGGTTAGATGATTTGATTAGGTTAGATGATTTGATTAGGCTAAAAAAGCAGGGGTGGTTATCATATTTTTATTCAATCATTGATAACAAGAATGCTTGTAAACACTATTTTCAAGATTTTATATGCTTGTTTGTAAATGCAGATTTGACCATTGAACTAATGCAAGTGAGGCTTTTGCTACCAATGATGCATGTTTACTAGTGCTAGACTGTGAAGTTCTTTCCTATTATTTCAAATCAAAATTTTATAAACACCATCACTTTTCTACCAATTAAAATGATTACTTAAATTAACCTTCAATGGGGCCTGAACCTTATATACTTGAATAATACCCTGAATCTGGCTCCAGGGATATTTTTCAACTATCCAACATATCCTCAACTATCCAACATATCTGGCTGGAGGGCAAAAAGACTCTGCCCTGCACACCCCTACAAAGAACTTAAAGACAGTATGTAACATAAGAAGAAATTGCTCCTTAGGTGTTAATAGGTGAAATATGGGCAAGTAGTCCACAGTCGATAATCAAAATTGTCTAGCATGACATGTCAGAGTTGAATATCAAAGTACTTACAGTAGGTAGTGTTAGGGAAAATTGTATCTAAATATATCAACATGAAACATGGGCAGAGTCTAGCTAGACAGTTCCCTTGACAAATAAAATTGTCCGGCATTAGACTGCGAACAATCCCTAATAAAATAGAGGGATTGCCGCTTTAACTAATTGTCAAGCGTGTTTGATTAAGCTCCGCCTACTTGTTTATATTTCAAAACAGGGTCAAAAACATCTCTTGAAAGGCGCGGTCTCGAATGACTCAATTCGCTTAGGGTAAAACCATCAAACAACGTGTATTTAAATTCTCAAATTTCAGTTTGGCAAGTATGAATATTCATAATCAGAATTTGTCTGGCAGGAAAACGTATAAAGCAAGGCAAGGAGTCTTGGGGTTTATTGAAGGGTCTATTCTATAGACTGTGACTTTCTGCGACAATATTTTGACATAGTTTACAGTAATAAAAAATTACCAACTTAATACAGCTATTAAGCTGAATTACATGGTTAAGATTTACAAGGAGTGTTTCTAATTTATATAAACTAAACCTCTATGCCTCTATGTTTACAAAGCTTAAAATTTAAACTTGAAAATTGGAAACATGCAAATGTATATATACGAATGCTAAAACTATGAACTATGAATTAAAACGTTTAGAACTTGCGATTATGAATGTGTTCATGTATCTATTAGTCTTAATTATTGGAAAATCAAAGGTTCTCTTTGTCCTCAGGGATTAATGTGCAGTATTTGAGTTCAAATCCGGCAATAGTGCCGCGAAGTTTGTGATTTGGATCTTCAATGATTTCTGTTCCGTTCAATGTCTTTACTCAGCGATGCATATTCTGCTATCGCTTGGATGCAAGTCAATAAAAACAAATCATCTCAGCAGCGGGTACATTCGCACGTTTTAACCGGCATAAAAAATACAATCTTATGGTACATTGATACTGTCAACATGACTATTCCATTTAAGATCAAAACAATACATACAATATACAATACATACATACATACATATTTACAAAGACATACAATATTATAATAAACCCAAACTCCATAAACTCACCAGGTCACCATGTATTATTAAATTAGCCTAACTGTGTGGCATTCATCAACGACTATGAGGGACAGTTCGTTTCTGAATGGCGAGCTTTTATTCTTCAACAAGGCAACAAATTCAGGAGACAAAGGCTCAAAGCTTCATCAGCAGACGCATACACAAATATCTGAAAATTGGTTTCCTTGATCCCACTATATATAAGAACGGCGCCCGAGTTAATATTTCCAAAAGCGATCATTCTTAATGCAAAGTCGTTGGACCGTAACTGTTCATCAATAATGCTACGAAGAGGAACAATTTAAATACTAGAATATTAGTTGGGAATGAACAAACCCTTCGAATATCTTCAGCCAACAGGAAACTCTTTCCAAATCCCGTAGGAAGGACAGCTAGAACATCTCTACCTTCAAGTAGGCACTCTATTGCAAGCGTTTGTTTCTGTAAGCTTGTTGTAAGACTTTCAACTACATACGTATCAATTTTCGTTGCTTCCCGCTGCCAGATAGATATTAATTTCGGCAAATGTCTGTTTACAGTATAAAGCCAGCTGAGTGATGGGTTTTAATGTTATCAGAATATTTATTGTTTTTTAACCAATCAGAATTTCCCGTTGTCTCTGCAACGGGAAAATCAAACACGCTTGACAATTAGTTAAAGCGGCAATCCCTCTATTTTTCCTCTCGTCTCCGCCCCTTTTTGCCATTTTCCCGCGCGTTCAATCTTAGTCCGGGAAACAATAAAACGAAGGAAAATAGAGGGATTGCTCGCAGTCTAACTCATTTCCATCGCCTTCTTTTCAGTATATGACCATTGCTTCTAAATGTAACATGATACTGTAAACAACGTAATATGAAATGTAGACAGAGTGAGCGTGCACCCTGAGAGAGAAGGATGCATATGTAAGAAATGATGAAATAAAGTATTAAAACCGAGTGTGTTATTTACGGTGTCTCGCCACGTTACATAAACATACATAGAACATTATGCCTGAACGTAGATTAATTAATGTATCTTACGTAAGGCACCATGCAGGCCGGCTGGGGTGGAAAATAGGCGATCATACGAGCACCGCTCGCAGGAAATGTTAAACAGCTGCAGGAAATTTGTAGGAAATTCTAATATGGAAGGGCCACTATGGGAGCAAAAACTCATGGTCGTCAGGCATTTTTACTTTCGTTGAAAACAATAGTCTGCTAGCTAAGGTGTAGTCTATGTTTATGCACATGCAGTTTCAGCACAAGTAACTCAGTTGGTGCATGCGCAGGAAATCTTAAGATCTAGGTTGTGCTTCCAGGAAGAAAACTGTTTTTTCCAGCCCTAGGCCACCATGGATGCGCATATTGTAGAATGGACGCATGGAAGTTTTGTTTTTCAAAATGGTACAAACAAATAGAATAAAGCCTCAGGAGACTTAATACCTTTCTATTGTCTGAATTTTATATTTCGTATAATCAAAGTAATTTATTTATCGCTATTCATTAACGGTTCATTTGTTACAATGAAGAGCTGTTATAATTTACTCAGGTGATTACTTATAACTAAAGACTTTTAAGCTCATTACAGGGGTTAAGCGCAATCGTCCGATTAATGATGGACCATTTGCATTATAGACTAAATTTTGATCTAGACAAAGATTTCATCACAGCTTGAAAGAGCATCACAGAATTAGTAATATTCCAAAGTTTCGTTGCAAAATATTGTAAAATGCGGATAATATAGCCTTGCGAAATTTGCCGTTTTTCAGTCATTTTGTATTACGCACGGAAAATTGATGCCCCAACACCCGATTGGGCTTAAAAGTCTTTAGTTATAAGTAATCACCAAGTAAATTATAACAGCTCTTCATTGTAACAAATGAACCGTTAATGAATAGCGATAAATAAATTACTTTGATTATATGAAATATAAAATTCAGATAAGACTTAATACCTTTCTATTATTGTCTGAATTTTATATTTCATATAATCAAAGTAATTTATTTATCGCTATTCATTAACGGTTCATTTGTTACAATGAAGAGCTGTTATAATTTACTTGGTGATTACTTATAACTAAAGACTTTTAAGCCCAATCGGGTGTTGGGGCATCAATTTTCCGTGCGTAATCTAAAATGGCTGAAAAACGGCAAATTTCGCAAGGCTATATTATCCGCATTTTACAACATTTTGCAACGAAACTTTGGAATATTACTAATTCTGTGATGCTCTTTCAAGCTGTGATGAAATCTTTGTCTAGATCAAAATTTAGTCTATAATGCAAATGGTCCATTAATCGGACGATTGCGCTTAACCCCTGTAATAAGCTTAAAAGTCTTTAGTTATAAGTAATCACCTGAGTAAATTATAACAGCTCTTCATTGTAACAAATGAACCGTTAATGAATAGCGATAAATAAATTACTTTGATTATATGAAATATAAAATTCAGACAGTAGAAAGGTATTAAGTCTCCTGAGGCTTAATTCTATTTGTTTGTACCATTTTGAAAAACAAAACTTCCATGCGTCCATTCTACAATATGCGCATCCATGGTGGCCTAGGGCTGGAAAAAACAGTTTTCTTCCTGGAAGCACAACCTAGATCTTAAGATTTCCTGCGCATGCACCAACTGAGTTATTTGTGCTGAAACTGCATGTGCATAAACATAGACTACACCTTAGCTAGCAGACTATTGTTTTCAACGAAAGTAAAAATGCCTGACGACCATGAGTTTTTGCTCCCATAGTGGCCCTTCCATATTAGAATTTCCTACAAATTTCCTGCAGCTGTTTAACATTTCCTGCGAGCGGTGCGAGCGGTGCTCGTATGCTCGCCTATTTTCCACCCCAGCCGGCCTGCATGGTGCCTTACGTAAGATACATTAATTAATCTACGTTCAGGCATAATGTTCTATGTATGTTTATGTAACGTGGAGAAACACCGTAAATAACACACTCGGTTTTAATACTTTATTTCATCATTTCTTACATATGCATCCTTCTCTCTCAGGGTGCACGCTCACTCTGTCTACATTTCGTATTACGTTGTTTACAGTATCATGTTACATTTAGAAGCAATGGTCATATACTGAAAAGAAGGCGATGGAAATGAGTAAAACGTTGAAATTGCAATTTTAACGAATTTCAAGCTTTGTAAGACATGTGAATTAGGAGAACAACTGCCACCCGTGCGCTACCCGCCACCCGCGGAAAAGACCTTCCGCCTAAAATCTTTTATGCTTAAAGGCGGTTTTTCACTAAGCGAAATTTTTCGACCGAATCGAAATTTTCTTTTGTCTTACAAGCACTCAGATGGAACTAAACAGAAATCTTTTGAATTTGAACAATAGAAATTTCGGTTCGATCGAAAAATTTCGCGTAGTGGAAAACCGCCTTAAGAATTGCAAAGTGGATTTCTTAGGAAGTTCCAAGGTTGCGTTTCACTTCCGAGTAGCGGGCGGAGGTATGCAGTCTCTGAGTGCCCTCTAGTTTTATATGTGGTAGAAAATCATGTTAATTTACATAAACTTCAGCTTTGATTTTCTCGGCTTTGACAACGTTTATTTTTAAAACTAGGAGTTACTATCGCAAGGAAAGTGCTGCCTTTTTTGCCACATAAACTGAATGCAAGACCTCTCTAAAGGGAAGTTCACTTTTGACCCAATGAACTTAGGGACCGGTCATAAAGTAACTGCTAGGGTGGGCTGGAGTGATTTGGGATGGGCCATGGAAAATCTTTGGGCAGTTTTGATGGGCCGCCAATTTTTTGGTGTGTCCACGGTTGGGCCACCAAACAAAAACCCATGTTAATTATATATTACATAAAGATAATAAAAGTAAACAAAACTATCCAAATTATCAAATGCAAATGATGCTATTGAAGCCAGTGCTTTGTTTTATACAACAACAAGAAGTGGTCGAATCACAGCAAGTACAACCAACTGGAGAGCAGCTCAGTACTTAATTGGTGATGAATGTGTTGGTCAAGCTTGGTGGAATTATGTATGTCAATACAGTGCCGGTGTATATTTACAATGTTCATACTTGCAAGTTTTTTTTGTTATAAAATTGTATTTTCCCAATTTAGATTGGGTGGGTGGGTGGATCATGAAATAAATTTGGCAAGATTAGATGGGCTTTGAAATTTTTATCTACATCCTAAGATGGGTCACCAAATTTATTGGCAAAATTTGTAATTTACCTCCAGCCCACCCTAGCAGTTACTTTATGACCAGTCCCTTATTCTTAAATTGCGTGCACGGAACATGAGTAAATAACCAATATGAAAAAGTTGCCATTGGGTCAAAGGTGGATAAACGGCATACCCATTAGCTGACAATGCACCCCACTTTAGTATTAATTTAACTCTGTCTAACGCCAGACAAATTTACACTCTGTAACGTCAGACGATTTTACTTGTCAGTTGTAGAGTACTGTCAGTATCTGCTAAAGTAACCGCCATTGGCTAACAATGCGCCATACTTTAGTAGTTACTGCCTATCCACTACCTGTAGGAAGCAATTTTGTATTGGGGGAGCTAATTAGTCAGGGGCGATTATTAGGTAATTATATCCCTCTCAAACTTCACAGATTATCGCTAGTTCACAAATTTATTTTTTTGAGGGGGGCTGAAGACCCCAGACCCCCGGTTGCTACCGCCCTGCTATCAACGCCCAACAATTTTACTCGTCATTGCCAGTAAACGGCTTAATTTCTCGTCAACCCAATTACACAAACCAAACATTACACAAACCAAAACAATCATGTATTTACGAGAAATAAACTTGAATATCTTCTAGAGTTCTGGACTCTTCAGAATTTGCTCAAAGTCAATCAGGGACGTTGTGGGCCCCTAAATTAAAAAAAAAGGCAAAAGATAAAAAATATACAGGGTGTATCAAAAAAAACTGAACAGATTTAAAATTGCTCTCAATTTTGCAAAACAGCTATTTGTAGCTGTTTTTTATATATATAGCTTCTTTGGGTACTTATAATGTAAAATAATGAAAAAAATTTCTCGAACTTAAATTTTGTGAACCAGGGGGGGGGTGTCTTTTGCAACAAACTAAAAATGGCTCGCGCACAAAATTTAAAAGCTGCAATCATATTTTGAGTTAACAGATGGAACATTTGTCGGGATTTTAATTACTGTACAAAATTTCAGACAATTTGGTTTAGTTTAAGTTCCTTAACTATTCACGCAAAGTTACAATTTTCCCGAAAAATCAGCTATTTGCATGCTTAATTAATGCATTTGCCTAATTTGCATATGTCAGCAATATGCAAATTAGGTAAAGGCATTAATTAAGCATGCGAAAGGGTGACTTTTTAGAACAAAATGAATAGTCAAAGGGCTTAAACTTAACCAAATTGTCTGAAATTTTGTACAGTAATTAAAAACCCGACAAATTTTCAATCTATTAACTCAAAATATGATTACAGCTTTTACATTTTGTGCGCGAGCCATTTTTAGTTTGTTGGAAAAGACACACCCCCCTGGTTCACAAAATTTGAGATCGAGAATTTTTTTTCATTATTTGACATTATAAGTACCCAAAGAAGCTATGCATATAAAAACCCGGATACAAATAGGTGTTTTGCGAAATTGAGAGCAATTTCAAATCTGTTCAGTTTTTTTTGATACACCCTGTAGATTTTAATTTTGAAAATCAAATTTAATCATTTAAAATATTACAATTTATATTTAAAATATCTAAATTTACGGAAACATTACTGAAATGTTTCATGTTTGATCAGTAATAACCCCCGCCCCAATCTTGATCCATCCATCACTGGGCCTGGGCCTCATCAGACGTTGCTCATTCGTCGTCCTTCAGTTAAGACCCCAGCACGTCGCTGGAGTCAATCTGAGTAAAATACTCCTTGTATTAAAGCGCTTTCGTGTAGGAAGTTTCGTTTGAACACGGCGAGTAGAAATATATTTATTTTGAATTTTTCAAAATATCGGGTTTTTACTCGCACGCGCGCGCCACGTGTGTGAACATACATCTGAACTTTTGCACGAAGGGCTTTTGTTCAGAACGTCAAAGTTTGTTCTTAATTTTCAGGTATAGGGCAAAATACACACAAACCTGAAAATTTTATTTTCATTATTGGCACTGTCTAGATTTCCGCGGCTTTTCGGAGAAGCAGGCTTTCAAGTCGATACACAGGATGTCCAGTGACAGGTTTTAGGTAAGTTCATACGCTGTTATTACTTATTAGACACCTTAAGATTGACGTTTATTTTATTTACGCCTAACCGCAAACCGCGGTTTGTTGTTAGCGGTTTCACGTTTGCCGTACTTGCAAATATGAAATTAAGATTGACGTTTTTCTTCGCGTTCAATTTTTTCCCGTCGAAACTATAGGATCCATTTGAATTGTGCCATCCTGTCAAAAAAACAAATGTCACTACCAATTTGTTAAAATGAATTGAAATATGATGAAAGTATAAATGTAAGTAAGAAATATGCAAGTATGTTTAAACATGGATTGTGAAAAGGTCGTCAATGATTTTGAACTTGCTTTATCGTGAATGTTCAGATGTAAACGTTTATTAATTAAAACGATTCAAAACACGACTTAAAATAAACAAATCTCAATTTAAGAAATCTATCATACCAAAATCGGCCACAAAATATTGAACTGACAATCGAAATTTTCATGTTTGTTTAACCCAAATAATATCATGATTGCGGGTATTCCCTTTGTTCTCGCAGGGCAATTAAAAACTAATGCACCTCATTATATTCATATTTTCTAATCCTACCCGCTTTTACGTCATGTCAGGTAGAATTAGTTCTAATCCTACCCGAAACGACGTCAAAGCGGGTACGATTAGAAAAAATGAATATAAATGAGATATCTGAAATCGCCAAAACTAAACAAAGACATGGAAAACAATTATACCATTTAATTTATACCATTATTTATTGTTAATTGGTTTTTAATGGCCCTGCGTAAACAACGGGAATACCCGCAATCATGATATTATAAGGTAATAGCATAAAAAGAAGCGAATTAGCTATTAAAACGTCCCGCCCGATGAGGGTCGTTTAGTATAATTGCCTTGGGCGCCGCTCGATGAGGGTCATTTTGAATGCAAATGCAATGAGCTTTGTTTCTGCCCGCGATTTTTTGGTCAGCGACGACAAATTTCCCACCTGTTCTATTACTTATAATAAATAAGAGTCGATTGGGCGCCATGTTGTCTATATATCGAATTTATACATGGTTCGGTTAAAGCACTCAGAATATGAAAAAGTTCCGTTAAAAACAACTTTTATCCATCCAAATCAAAGATAAGATGTATATTTGTCTTAATATATGTCATATACGTGCAATGAAGTAATAACAGTTGAATAAAATGCTGAGGTAAATCACTTACCTGTAGAATGCACTCTTGAGGTTTAAAACATGAGCGATTTACGGCAAACATGACGGCAAGCTCCTGGTCACGTGGTTTCTAGCGGTTAGACGTTTGCGAAAAATACGTCAATCTTAAGGTGTCTATTGACAGGGTTTACCTGGGATTACTTTACTTTTTTATGCCCAAAATAATCAGTATGCCAATAAAATTAGTCTTTCAAGTCATAAGCTTGCAAATCATTGGTGCGTAAGGAGTGGCGTTGCCAGCCCGACAATTTGGTCATGCTATGCAAATCTTTCCGTGTTCATAGACCGTGAAAACAAACAATTTCTGAAGAAATGAATAATATGATTTTTTCTGTGTTGGTGTTGTGTACTCAGGTGAATATGATGTTTGTGATGTTACTGACCGCGTAGCTCAGTTGGCGGAGCATTGGTCTAGTATTCCAAAGGTCGTAGGTTCTTTTCCCACCGTGGCCGGGCATATTTTTCAAGCTCGCCCGGTGTGGATATACACTCAGAGTAACATCGCAAATATCATATTCACCTGAGTACACAACATCAACACAGAAAAAATCATATTACTAGATTACATTGGTATCGAAGGAACTAGATTCTGTTCCGAAATATCACTTACTCGAACCGTCCTGACCGCGTAGCTCAGTTGGAAGAGCATTGGGCTAGTATTCCAAAGGTCGTACAGTAGGTTCGATTCCCACCGTGGCCGGGCATATTTTTCAAGCTTGCCCGATGTGGATATATACTCAGAGTAACATCACAAACATAAAAAATTAATGAATAATAATGATTTGATATTTGCGTAGCATGACCAAATTGTCGGGCTGATTACGCCACTGTGCTTAATGCCGGGTACAATTTACGTATAAAAATAATACAGGATACATTCCATTTTTGATAATTATTTGTTCTTTCATTTGTGGACCATTCGATGGTATAGTGCGCTCAAGCACATTCAAGACTTATCAAGTGAGGATGCTCAACTAGGTTATAGTAACATTTAGTAATATTATATAGTTACGTTAAAGTAACAATTAGATTTTTAGGAACATTTCCTTGAAGAAAACCTTCACAGTCACGATATAAACCAACACGCAGATGGACATAAAACACATGTCTCCCAAGTTTACCTGCATACACCCAATGAGTACAATATTTTGTATCTACAGAAGCATTACAGTACAATTCCAAGATCATTGCTTTTACTTACAGCGCGGGAACAATAGTTGTTACATACCTAGCTACATTAGATCCATCTGCAACCAACGAAACTGCTTCAACTATCCAAGCGGCCATACAACAACAACTTTTCGTTAACGGTACTGGAACCTTCCTTGGGCAATATCATCTACAAGGAACCAGGCAGACTGCCCTAACATTTGAAGGTAAGTCCATCTTCTCATCTTGTGGGAAGAAACGCTCGTCCTAAAAGCGTATGAAATACCAAAAAGCTTGTTGAAAAACAAGGCGCTAGCAAAATTTAATATATTTCAAATCGTTTTACACGCCAGTAATAAACCGCTTTTGAGTTTTTTACATCTCAAACGGAATTGTAAATCAAGGCGAAAATTGAGTTAATTTATGGGCGTTTATTACCATGGTTTGAAGACAACGTTATCGTGCAAGTTTCCTTGCTGTTTTGCTCATGAATGTCTAATTAGTCTGAGATGCATATTAATTGGATGAAACAGCACGCTGAGGTAAGCGATTGCCTAAAGGACGTTTTCGCTTTGCCAGCGCAGGCGAAGCGTTCATTGTTTTTGACGACTGTCACGCCCGCTGAACAGATTTTCGAAGCCCGCGCGGGCAAAGCGACTGCAATGGAAAACTGCCTTAAAGAGTAGCAGCAATAAAGCGATTTGAAACATAAATTTTACCTGATTTTTTGCATATTCAGTTGTTGTAAGACTATATTACAACATGGTCTACTTGCCGCCAAATTTGTCTAGATTCTTTTGATGCATTCACACAAACATTAATTGTATACATTATTATCAATGTACCAATTCCTTACTTTTTGAATGTTTCACATGTAATGCTGGCGGGGAAAATACTGGGCCTCTGCATGGAAAATATTCGTTGCAGTTTGAAATAATTAAAATGAAATATTAGAGTAAATAAATGCAACATTATTACCTCCGCCAGGAGGTTATGTAATCATCTGGGTTTGTGTGTATGTGTGTGTGAATGTGTGTATGTGTGTGTGTTTGTCTGTGAGCACGATAACTCAAGGAATTCCAAACATATTCATACGAAATTTGTTGAATGCATTTCCCATCGGCTAAGGAAGAATTGATTAAAATTTGGTTGGATTTGGTTAAAAATTGAACGAGAAATGAACAAACTTTTGTCTTGCTTTTCCCGGTCAATTAAAAAAAAAAACTCACTGAATACGTAATTAGGACGTGTATAATGTATGCACGCTGTACTAAGACAATAATGAGATGACAAACCTCATGAAGCTTCATCCTTCATTATCTATATTGTCTTGGTTGCATTGCACGCGACCGAAATTCAATGTTTAAAACAAGGCTTACGGAGTTACGCATTATTGCGTTCAGCAAAGTGCCAGTCCATTCAAATTCTAATAACATTAGATTACTTCAATACAGGGTGTATAAAAAAAACGCAACCTCGTAATTTCCCAAGAAATCGACATTGTTTTAAAGACAAAAGATTTTAGCTGCCTGGGAATTTAAAATAGCACAACTGTCAAAATTACTGCACAACGCGAGTGCATAAAGCAAAATTTATGCATTTATTTAATGACACTTAATAAGTTTTATTTTACAAGTACTGTACATGTAGTACAACAACAGTAATATGATCTATTAGCAATTCGATTTCAATTCCCGGGGGCCTAAAATCTTTTATGCTTAAGAATTACAAAGTGGATTTCTTAGGAAATTCCAAGGTTGCGTTTCACTTCCAAGTAGCGGGCGGAGGTATGCAGTCTCTGAGTGCCCTCTAGTTTCAGATTAAATGCTTACGGAGTTGCATTCCAAATTAGGAACAGTTTATTACTGACGTTAATATGACTTCGTGTATATTTTGTTGAGCAAAACGTTTGCATGGTGGGAAGATAAGTTTGCTTCCGCGGCAAGAGTGGACGAACGGCGAACTTTCCAGGAAAGATGGTAATTTATTGTGTTGTAATAAAAAAAGAATGTAATGTTATATTTGTCCCAAATAGATTATGATGAATGTAATCCTGCATCAAGCATTCATATTCAAGACTGTGGTACAGGAGCAACATGTACTAATGAAGTAGGAACATATTCGTGTCAATGTTCCACTGGATATGAAGGAACTCCGCCTGGTTGTACAGGTATGTACATGAGATGAAAAACAACTATTACTTTTAGGATGGATAGTTAAAAAAAATTGGATAGGAAACAACTGACTCTAGCCGACCTGAATTATTTGAAATATGTGATGTCACGAATTCCATGAATATATAAAGTCTTACTGCGTTTCAGTCGTCCATTTTCCTATATTTTTGCATTCAAGTAGCTATTGTGAGATTCAAAATGGGTTCATGAACCTACCTATACGTGTGCCATGGCAAAGTATTCGAAGTAAAGGTAGTTCGTCTTTGTTTCAGATTTTTACTTTCGTACATAATTAAGAAATTGGCGTTACAAAAACTGTTCTTGTTTTCTAATGCGTACAACACCGTCTAATTAACAATTAGGGCCTGTTCCAGGCGGGACGGGATGCTTACCGAGATCCCGCTCGTAATACGAATTCTAAAGAGTGTTTATATGATCCCGCCACTTATCCCGCCTAGACGGGATCTCGGCAACAGATGCCGGGATCCCGCCTAAGCAAGATGAAATATTCCCATATAAGCACTTCATCCCGCCTAGCCGGGACGAAAAATTCCCATATAAACACTTCATCCCGGCTAGGCGGGATGAATTTTTCCCTTTTGAGCATGCGTAAATGCTTTATTGCAACAAAAATATGACGTCAAGCACTTAAATGGCTTCTTCCTGGCAATGTATTTTGTCCATATAAACACTAGGCGAGTATCCCGTCTAGGCGAGTATCCCGTCTAGGCGTGACGAAAACGTCCCGTCCCGTCTAGGCGGGATCATATAAACAGGCCCTTAGTCGCTGAAGGTGAGGTGATTACAAACCTATATATATTCACTGAGCCGAAGGCGAAGTTAATATAGGCTTGTAATCACCGAGCCTGAGGCAACTAATTGGCATAAATAATTTACTTCCCTCTGATTCTCAGACATTTCTTTTGGAAAAGCAATAATTACTGGTCAGGGCAGTCTGAGCAGTAACTATTGCCTCAGAGTTACTGCTGATGGAGTCAATCAGAATGCTCAAAGGCCATTTTTAAAATACTGAAATTATAGTTGCTTGATGGAATGCTCAGCTGTATTGTTGCTAAACGTTGAATTTGGTGACGTCATAATTTGAACAAGGTTGAGGCGCCATCAGCACGCTGAAAACATTATATATCATCATGAGTTTCGTATCCAGTGTTTTTATTTTCCATTGAATATGCTACCGTGTATAAATATTTTCAAAGGTTTTGAGTTTTGTTTAAACAACGAATTTGCAGCTGACCGTTTTAAACAATATAGAACACATAACCGAAGATGTGGCCAAAAACGTACCGGAAATGAATTTGGGATAATAACGACTAATTGTGCTTATGTCATAAAATGGAAACATCAGAAAAAAACTCACCTTCACATCGTCCATCGTGCTTTCTTCTTATGTAGTTATGTTTCTTCTTATAGTAATTAAAATGTCTTTATTTAGGTACAAACACAGCCACTCTACATACAATTAAATGACTGTTTGTTCTTCTTTTACAGCTGTCGAAGTATTTCCACCGTTGCATTTTGGTATGTTTTGTTTATCTCTGTTGCTTTTTTCAGTCATCTGTAAAGTATATTGTTCAGTAATAAACTCCAGAATCCCAGTCAGGAAATCTAACCCCATTTCTCGTTGTGGTACTCAAAGATTAATAAATCTCAAAAGAGCATTACACTTCCACAATGTTGCTGTACTCCATGCTAGAGTCGCAGTTACACTTCTTCAGGGTTCTTGATTAAAAATATCGTAATAAAACCTAATATGGAATGGGACTGGCCCGGTCGTCAGAGCAGAGCCCATTCACTTCTGAGATCGTGGTTTCGATTCTCGTTACGAACTCGTGTAAAAAGAGTCTGTCAACGCTCTGCCGAAAGTCGTGGGTTTTCTCTGGTGCTCCGGTTTCTTCCCACAGGGAAAGTTGTCATTGTGGGTTAGGATAAATAGACCTTATGCATAATGACGTCACAAGGCTTGATGCCTGCGAGGAATGCTGGTCTTAGTAGTCATCGCCCGGGAAGATTTCGATAGTGGCCATTTTGAATAGTTTAATTTTCCCGGGCGATGACTACTAAGACCAGCATTCCTCGCAGGCATCAAGCCTTTTGACGTCATTATGCATAAGGTCTATTGTTAGTAAAGTAATATCAGAATTGTTGATTACTTGATCTAATCGTCACTGAAAAACCCCGATGGGTTTAGTATAGTAGATGAATTTACATTCAAGCGGTGTAATCTCTCCTCATTTCCCTGTTATTTTATTGATCGGTGTTAAACGTGCCAACACTTGAGCAATGTAAATGTGTACGAAATCTAGTGGATCATTGCGCTGATCTGATACATTATTTATATAGAGCTATTTCAAAAAAGGTTGACCTTTGAAAAACCTTAAACTCTAAACCTTAAACTCTAAGCGTGCAAAGCATAATGGGAGCATCATTTAAACAGTTTAGAAATAATATATGGGGACCATTTCTTAGAGGCACGGTATAAATATCTCCTTATACGAGAACAATTCATTCACAAATAGCTGCAATAATCACTACTAAGCTTGAAACTTGTGCTCCCATTAAGCTTTGCCCGCTTAGAGTTTAAGGTTTAGAGTTTTTCAAAGGACAACCTTTTTTGAATTGGCTGTGTATTATGTCGTAAATTCACCTTAAAAACAGTGCAAATTATCCCTGTCATACCTGTATAGTGTATTAGATATCACCTTGATGACGTAAAAAAGGTGACTGCTTATGCAGTGCAAATGTGCCCTGGACAGGATGGGTTGTTGCAGCTCATCGGGTGTAAAGTTTGAACAGGCGAAATTTACACATGCTTGACAAAACATGGTGAGATGTTTTGTGCCAGGCTGAAAACCAGATTTATCGTGTGAATTTCATAATGTTCCAAGGCACCAGTTTCCAAATATATATTTTTTTCCATTCTACCTCAAGGTAACTTTCCCTTGACTATAATTTCATAATTAATCGTACTACAGTATAGTATCGATATTTCGAAATTGGAAAAGCTATCACTTTAACAAAATGTTATTTCGTTTTTTTCAATCAAAGTTTCTCACTATAGCGTTTTGTTGTGTATTTTAGTGAATGATGATGATGCAGAGCTGGTGAAATGGCTCATGGTTTTTGTCATAGTTTTCCTTTCCATTTGCTTCCTTGTCACTTTCGTCGTTATAATTGCTATTTGTAGAACGTAAGTAACAGTTATACAGGGTGTATAAAAATCTGGTAGATCATTTTAAAATGGCCACTAAACAGAAAATTCCGCAATATTTGTGAAACATGTCAATGTGGGTGTTTTACGGTCTTCTCTTAGTGGTCCTCTCTGCCACTAAAGTCATAGACTACCGGCCAGCTTTTCACACACTGATTGCATTTCTTGTTACCAGCTGTATTGTTATAAAACAAAATTACAGTTTAAGGAGTTTTATGACAGACAGTCTCGCACTAATGAGCAGGAGCATCTCTACATCGAATGTTGTCTCAAGCAAGTTTTGTAGTTGTTTTTATATGTTTCTTCCAAGGAAAACAAGCATGTAGGAGGTAATGTCTTACAGGTGTAGTTCCAAACTTTAAGTAGACTCTTGAAGTAGACTCTTGAAGTAGGACGTTTGGAATGTACCATGTTTACATATTAGGCCCCTAAACGTTTCTTTCGGAATTTACAGTTAATTTGTCATTTTACCATTGTCTATTTTTATGCACACTCTGTATAGTTTGAAACCTATATATGTGTGTTCTTTTGTTTTTAATCTATTTTGTTTATTTTTGTGTGTTTGTTCCTTTTTGCTTTTTTTCTATTCTGTTTGTTTTTTTCCTGTTTCAATGTTTATTTATATGCTTGTTTAATTTCGTTTGATTATTCTTTGATTATCTTGTCTTGCTTTGTTATTGTGTGTAATGTGTTGATTAGGTTTGTCGGAAATATGTCTGGCATTGGCAGTTTAACATTTTAACAACGAACAACGAGTACGGACTATACGTAGGGTTGCATGATCATAAATTACAGCGTCATGTTTGACATGAAAAGAATGTTAGTAAACTCATGTTTGTCTTGGTGGTTTTCAACAAAAAGAACGAATATTCTTAAATAAAATTGTTGACCGCTTTCTGAAAAAAGGTATCAATTTCCCGTGCGTAATACAAAATGACTGAAAAACGGCAAACTTCGCAGGGCTATGTTATCCGCATTTTACAACATTTCGCAACGAAACTTCGGAATATTACTAATTTTGTGATGCTCTTTGTCCAGAATTGTCCAGATCAAAATTTTGTTTATTAGGTAATAGGTCGATTAGGCATAATTCAAGATCAGCAAACTTAATGTTTTTAACATTGTAAAACATTTTTATTGTTAAAAACATTAAGTTTGCTGATCTTGAATTATGTTGAATCGATTTTCCTAGTACGTTTTATTCAATTGAAAGAGCTCAAATGCGCCTTAAAACCATCATTCAAGAGGTTGAATTATGCCTTTAAAAGGATTTTAGAAACTCATTAATAATTCATGAAGAAAACACAAAGAAAAATCATAAGCGTGTCGTATCTGTATATGTGATACAGATTCATGTTGATTTACATAAACTTTAACTTTGATTTTTTCGGCTTAGACAACGTTTATTTTTAAAATTACTTCGCCAATGAACTCATAAGATGAGTCGTTTTTTGAGCCATTTACAACATTTGCGTCCGTGTTGTATCGGTTATACAAGCTCTCGCCTCACGGCCGCTCATGTTGTAAATAGTACATATTTTGTTATTGAATGTTTATAAGCAAGCATATTTTTCTTACATCGTTAGACTAAGTCATGCAGGGAAGTACGTACCAGAAGAAGATGAAATATCAATGGGAAGAGTGACTTCAATAGCAACTCCCAAGTACGAAGAACGTCAAGTGATGAGAGAATATTACAGCTAAATATAGATATAGCACTAGAACTGCATGCCTGCCCATAGTGAGATTGTCAACTAGAGCATTCTTCAAAATAAAACGTACTATTGATTTCGAATACTTATTAATATATGCAATATGAATTCGGATCACTTTTTTGAATACGAGATTCAACATCATTTTGCTTCGTGTTCCAATCATGCTAAACATTCCTTCTTGTTCAGTCGTGTTAATTAAAGAACATGTTGGTACATGCAAGATATGGATGAACATTTTAAGCTGGTACTGCATGGTTTCTGCTTTAAGCATTTCTTTTCAAGTCATTGCATGTATGAATTAGTTGGCAATCGTCACGTTCGAGCATATTTGTGCTTCTAAGTACTGTATAACAGGCATTATTTTTATATATCCGTAAATTAAATGCATGGATTAGTTAGTTATTTTTATATTAACATCTTTTGAACGTTTAACAACTAAGTGATTTTGTAATCTTATAATTTTTTGTACGTTGCACATATTATATATTGTGTTACACTAACATTTTCTAATATTTTTTTATAAATAAAATTCACATTCTTCTTCCTCTTGTCGTTTATACATTTTAGTTCATAGATAAATAGCCTGCTCACAGACGTTGTAGTTCTTACGCCAAGCGACGAAATTCTACCGTCTGCTTACCCGAGCCGCATAATCAATTCCCTTTGTTTTAGAAGCCAATCATATGGCAATGTTCAAAAAAGTTAGAGCCAATTGGAAGCGGCCTTTTTGAGAGATTAGCTACTGGGGAAAGCCCTTGCACATGCATTGGAATATATTGTTTGGGTTGAAACACGAAATTTGTTTACTTGCGTGGATATATTTTGGAAACTATAGCGTTGAACTTCACGATGTTTACGTAGAGTAATATTGTGATCATCTTCTCGCATGCTCAGCAGACAATCGGTAACAATGACAAACAATCAATCGGGAAACTCGAGTATATCAGGATATGTCCAAATGTGTCCAAATGTTGCTCTTGATACTTCCTATATGCTATAACTTCGACGAAAACTTCTAAAAGATTAAGCTCTCATTGTCATGTAGAAAAGTAGCCAAGTTAGAGCGCGAAGCGCGACTATTTTCATACATTGTTTTCGAGTGTTTGGATATCCCGGTGAGACACGAGCTCGAGTCTCTCTCCTCCGCAGAGGCTTTAATTTGAAAATTAAACGAGACTTACCTGGTAAGTTGAAGTTTGATTGGAATTCTACAAGTCATCAGTCAGGAACGGAGGAATTACATGAGAGAGCGCGCGAGCTATCTAGGCAATATTCAACGTAATCGTGAGTGTGAACAGGAGCATGGAACGGAGGAATTGGGACGGGAGGGAATCAGCTTGCCTGATCCAGGGTAGTGCTGTGCGCCGGAGTTGCCGGAGCCGGAGTTCTGCCGGAGCTCCGGCAGTTTTTCCGACGCCCTAGCCGAATTTTGTATGCCGGAGCCCGGAGTTACGTTTTCCCAGCTCCGGCAAAATGACAAGAAAACAATATGAAATGAGACAAATGTCAAACGATTGTTAGTTACTGCAAACTGCCAATTGCTGTTAATGAATTCATCATAGACTCAAACTGCCACAGCCCACAGGAACAGCGTCGAAAAGCTGTAATACGATCGCAACTTACAAACGTCATGCTTTCATGAAGCCATCTGACTTAGCGCTACATACTGTAGTCTGTGTATTTCATGCCTTGTAGATAACGAAAAAGTACAAAACAAATAAATATCAACCTTTTGAAAATAACAGAGTACTTTGTTTGCGTGCGAACAATTGCGCTGTGGAGTCTGAGAGAGTTAGCGTCATGCCTCGCGTCATGCCTCGCGTCATGCCTCGTGTCAAAGATTTTTCGAGGCTGGTTTCCATATAGATATTTTCTGCGTGGTTAAGTGTTTTCACTGTTTTGTTTCCTGAGTTATGTTATCTGATAATTAGGAAGCGCGAAAAGGGTTATTCATAATAATATTAATAAATGTTCTCTGATCGTAAAACATTTATTTAATATTTTATGATGTGGCCGGAGCTCAGAGCTGTAATTCGGCCGGAGCCGGAGATGAAAAACCGGAGTTTGCACAGCACTAATCCAGGGCATGTAATTCCTCCGTTCCTGACTGATGACTTGTAGAATTCCAATCAAACTTCAACTTACCAGGTAAGTCTCGTTTAATTTTTAAATTCTACTACGTCATCAGTCTACGTCACTACGGAATTACATGAGATTTCAAAGCGGTCCTGTTCACACACACACCAATGAGTAGATCAGTCAATGGTTTACGAAGTAACTAAACCATAGCATCTACTAACAAACGAGCCGACAGGATCACATCTGCGCAAAGGCAGATACAAAAAAGGGAATCATTTGATTGTAAGTGAGGTTGGGCCGTTGGGCTAACCTCTTCTGTCTACAGGAAATGCTAGTAGTAGTAGACTCCAAATAAATAAAGGTAAATATAATTTCCTCATGATTCTATTTTAAGTTCTCTTAAATTAAATGCATTGCCATCAAGAAGCAATGGACAATTGTTGCCATAAGATTGCAAACCCGTACCCAGGCTGTTCCCGTTTCCAATATAAGTGCCATTGGCATCGAGGAGTTGATAACTCAAGGACGAAAGAACTTTATATAAGATCATTACAGCATCATCAGACCGTTATGCAATAAACGCTGAACTGAGCATTGAAAACTCGGCGTTGACTAATATCACGTAACCAACACAGCAAATATCATGATTATTAGATTACATTGATATCGAAGGAACTAGAAATATCACATACTCGAACCAATCTGACCGCGTAGCTCAGATGGCAGAGCATTGGACTAGTATTCCAAAGGTCGCAAGTTCGATTCCCACCGTGGCCAGGCATATTTTTCAAGCCTGCCCCATGTGCATGGATATACACTCAGAGTAACATCACAAGCATCATGTAACTGATATAAGGGTTCTATGACACAAATAATCCGTTACAACAGTAACAACACTGACATTATTGTAGAGATATCCTATTGAAACAATCAGGGGACATTGTTATTGGCTTCATTTGCATATTATTATTAACGCCAGAATCAAAGCAACATTCGAAAATAAATTTCGGTCAGTTGCATATTTTCCTGAGTCAGGGTGCCTGGTATACTGGCCCGCAAGTTTTCTCGCTGTGCTCTTCCTACATACAGTTACATGGTGACCACATGGCTGACAAGAATTGTCCGTTGAATTGAATTCCTCTTATTTTATTTTGTTTTATTATGGACATATGCAATGCCAATGGGGTTAAATAGCCAATAATTATAACATGCATACTGTATTGCATTCGAGTGACAGGCGGTTCGTCAGTTTTAAAATTTTGTAACTGTTATTGTGATCAGACCATTTAAAACTTGTCATAACCATTAGCACGCATACCGGGGGTATAGTCGAGTTTACCAAGACTGAATAGTATCACAGGCATTGCTATTTGGTAACTGGTCTTTGTATTGTCCTGTGATGGAATGAATACCTTTTTATAAATGCAATATTTGTCCTGCAGTCCAGAACAACAGTGATTGCAGCAGAGGGACTATGTCTATTATATATGACATATGTACAAGGTATTTAGCCCATGGCTATGCCATGTTAAACAGATAATGATTTACAAAATAGGATAGCGCAACTTCCCAATGCCAAAGGTGTGTTATTATTATATGAAATCTTGTCATTGAGTACCCGAACGCTTCACTGTTCCAGTTTGGCCAAGAGGTTAAGATAATGATGTCCAATTTTGTTCTCAGGGAACAAGATTAGCCTCCATGCAGGTTTGCAGACATTAACCACACCTTCAATTCTAATCAGGAATTGAAATCTGATCCCAGTGATGCTAATAATGGCATGTACAAGCAGGTACAATTCAGTAAATTTCCCCTTGGCCTGAGCAGGTTATTTGTTTCATGATTCAAAACATAGCCCCTGGCATCGATTAGCATTTCAGATTTTCACTGCCAGTATTCCCACTTGGGGTTTAGTGGCTAAATCAGGTTTACTATACTGAGATAGTAAAAAGGGGCTATAATTGCTATAGCATGCATGATGTATACTATTTCCACAAACTGTACCAAGTTGTTCAGTGATTGCATTTATACCAGAAGTGAGTTGATACCAGCCAATACCAAAATTACTGATATTAACAGTAAACCAGGCTGACTAGCTTTAGTCTTGCTGTGGAAGAGAATCATTGGAATGAACATTGTGTTATTGTGTGCTCACATTCAAATGAGCAAATATTCATTGTAGTTGTAGTGCTACATGTCATGTTGTATCACAGGAAGTGACCAAACAAGTTAAAACTGGCCTGCATTCAGGTCTAGTTTCAACGGTTTTACTGACATTTAGCTATGCTATTATATTTATTATATCACACAAGATAAAACTTTTAAAAATTTTCAGTTGTTTATTTCTTCAGCGTGGTTCTCGTAACATGTACTGATGTACTTCCATGTTTAAATCTCGTGCGTAGCACGTGAATAAATTACTGGCAAAGCACTGGCAGTTTCCCGCCAAGTAAACAAAGTAAAATATTCGCTCAGGATAAACTCGAGTATAAAGTATTACGTAAGTGCAAATAAAATGTTCAATCTGAACGCTTTGCAGAAATAAACAATATTATAATATTATTGTAGATTTCATTAGGTAAAGCACAGTGGGTAAAGTGATCATTTAATATTTTACAATATGTGTAATGTGTATATACATGCCATGGACTGTATCCACACAGAACACGCCACAAATGACATTTTTATGTCGTTGACATTGGAAAAATCCAATTAGTTTCTGCGTTACGGTTGTGTGCATTAAAATAATGGACTAGCTTCCTAGTGGTGTGAAAAGGCACTAGCTATAGGGTCCAATAAGCACGGTATTGTCTGCTATAACTGTGACAAACATGCCATGACCTTGTGGCGCCCAGCACAGCAATGGCGTCTCTCGGTACTTCAGTTCCCAAGTTGCTGAAGCAACAATCA